GTTAAGTGCCCCCCAAAACCCCCCCCCCCCCAAACAAACAAAAAACCTCATTGTTTACATTAGTCCACTGATCTTGCAAGCAGTACAGCTTGGGGGCAGGGGCCACTACTGACAGTAGATAGGGTTTAATATTTGCCATTGAATTGTCTGTGTTCTTTTCTGGTAAATTACTCGGTTTTTTCTGACTTGCAGATAGAAGATGCCACAGTTACCAACTCGAGTTTTTGTTCAACTATCATGTAAGGATGCTTTTAAGATATCATAAGCAATCAAGTTTATCAAAAGTCTGGGACTCCATCTTGAAGGGGCTGCAAATATATCCCTCCAGCCCTGAACTATTTAAGACCTTATTGGAGATCAGCCATCTTTATACAACACCCAATAAAGTGCGCTGGATGCTTGATGACTACTTCCACAAGTAGGATGATTGCCTCAGCTCTTTGCTTTCTCTCTAGTTTTAATCTCTTCAATGATACATTAGCAGTTTATCTTCCATCATTTGTGTGTGCGCATGAGTTTGTGTGTGTGTGTGAGAGCGAGAGAGAGCAGGGGGGGGGGGGCTTTGCGTGAATTTGCTTTCTCCTTTTTTTGCATGATTTTGTTCATCGCTTAGCGGCAACCTAAGGCTGCCATCTATGCTGCTTTGTGTAAAGTTGCCCATGAGTGAATTATTATAATGTTCAAGCTGTGATGCTTAGCATGGTGAAATGGCACAGCAGAAGGTGCCTGCATTCTAGGATGGGTTCATGTGGTTTGCATTGCTATGATGCCACAGCAAATGACCTGTAGAAACTTCCCCTGCCATAGTTAGAACTCAATGTGAACCTCTGGTGTTTGTAAAAGAAGCAAGGAATTCCAAGCTGCTTGAAGAATGATAGATGGGAAGATAATTAATGAATTGTTGCTTCAGGATGCTCTTACATCTTCAAAATTTATTAATTCTGTTGTGTGTTGGTTTTTCTGCTTTTACCATGGCATGACATGCATCCAACTATACTCTACCTCGCAATATCTTTGTTAACGATACATATGCCCTTTTTTTTTTCTTTTTTCTTTTTTATCATGGCTCTATTCTCATGATTTTCTCAGGAAACCATCTGTAATTCTTTGGCTTTTTGCGCTATCATTTGAGATGAGTCGGGGAAGCTCCCAGCATAGAATCCATGGGTTATTTGAAAGAGCATTAGAAAATGACAGATTGAGCAACTCAGTCATACTCTGGCGTTTGTACATTGCTTATGAAATTGACATAGCGTGCAATCCTTCAGCAGCCAAGCGCGCTTTCTTCCGAGCTATTCACGCCTGTCCATGGTAAGTGCTTGCTTGATGAGGTCATTATTATGGATACTTTTATCCATAAAAGAGAACTGTCCAATTATATGCTCAACAACTTAGGTCACCATTGTGTAAAATATGGACTATATGGCAGTGCATATAATTGACTGCTAGAGAACATATTAACACAAAATTGTTGAAAGCAAAATGGTATGCACACTTCTATAAAAAATGGTGTCTTCCTGAGGATTGCAAGAACTTGACTAATTGCTATCAGAAAATCATAGGATTTGAATGACAGCTGTCGTTTTTTACGAGTCTACACCCCCCTTTTGGCTTTTACGGGATGTTGCATAAAATCTGGAAGGGGATAGCTTGCCGGTTAATGAATTCTTCATCTCAATGACATCTCATATAACCTTTTGAACGCTGGGCTACTGTCTCAATGCGAGGTTTGTTTTCTTGTTTCCTCAGGTCAAAAAAACTATGGCTTGATGGTTTTCTCAAGTTGAACTCCATCCTAACTGTGAAAGAGTTGTCAGATCTCCAAGACGTAATGCGGGATAAGGAGTTGAATGTTAGAACTGATATTTACGAGATTCTTCTGCAAGATGAGTTTGTATCATGATAACTGCTGTTAAATTTAGCAGAAACCCAATTTCAGCTATGCTTTTTAGTTGCATTTAATGCACTCGTGTATATGTTTGTGTTGATCATTCAAGAGATTTACCTACTATATTGATTTTAGACTCATTACATTGTGAATTGAAATATTTTAATAATGATTTTTTCTTTTTTTTAAAAAAAACTAATAAAATTTTCTATTTGGGTAATATTGTATTTTTTCACAGGATTTATTGGAAATCACCAAATTAATTAGGGATAAGATAGTCTATACATGTATTTTAATGCAATGAAATGACTATTATTCTTAAAAGCAAAAACAATAAAACATACGTCCATGAGGTTCTTTGTAAGACAAAAATTGGCTGGTGTGAACAACACAAGCGTTCATGCGGGTGGGAGGATTGATAAAACAGTGTCTTTTGTGATAGCGTTGAAAAAATCACGTCATTCTTTTCAAGGTAGTTAGATACGTGTATATGACAGTATCGATTGGGTTCCTATTCGCTCTTTCTTTTTTCTCCATCTTTTTTTTTTTTCTCACCTTTAATTTCACTCCAACCCTTCTATAAATTAGACATATTCTCCGGTTTGTATTTATATTAATTTTTATTTTTATTTTTTTATTGTTATTTATTTTTATTTTTAATGTTTTTTAAAGTTGATTATTTATATTATTTTATTCCTAAACATTTTATTATATTTATTTTTTGAATCTAGTTTGGTTCATACTTTTTAGATTACTATTTTTTTGTTTTTTTTATTCTTTTATTCTTTTATTCTGTTTTTTTAATTTAGTTTCTTGTTGTTTTTTATTTATTTTTTATATTCAATTTAATCCTTATTATTTTAATTGTTATTTTAATTTTAATTTTTGATGACCATGAATTATATCTCGTGATTTTTTTTCTATATTTGTTTTTTTTATTCTTTTATTCTGTTTTTTTAATTTAGTTTCATGATTTTTTTTTATTTTTTTTATGAGAGGTTATCTTGTCTCTTTTGAAATTGATTTTTTTATTAATTTTGTTATTTAATATTAAGTTATTATGTTTTGAACTTCGTGATTTTTTTATTTTTTTTTAAATTGATTTTTTTAAATTTTATACTTCATCATAAGATTACTGGTATCAAGTTTTGTTATTTTTCAACTTTTTTTTTAATAAGATTATTTCAATTTCATACCCTAATCACAAGTTAGTAGAGTTAGCTAGAGTTGACTCAATTTTTTTTTAATTTTTTTAATTAATTTTTTTAGTTTTGTTTTTTATCATTTTGTTTAATTAAAAGTTAACCTCTATTTATTTTTTGTAATCATAATCTTACAATTTACCTACGAATTTGATATATTTACTCCAATAAGATTTTTTGTTTTTTTAGCTTGTCTTTCAATATTTGATTTACTGATAATTGAATTTTATATTTTTTTTAAATTTTTTTATAAAGTTATCTCATTCTCATTTATTTTTTTTTATTGTTAAATAAGATAATTGAGATCTTTTTAGAATACTAAGAATGCAAGCAAATATTTAATTTTTTATTGGTCATATATTTTTTTGTAATTTTTTGATTGTGATTTACTTTTCTTAATTATATTGTTAAAGTAATTAAGATTATTGTATCTATTCAAATTAATGATTTATATCCTGAATTTTTATTTCTCCTTAAAAAAATACTATCATCACTTGAATTATTGTTTTTACCGAATAAGAAATTTGACTACTCCCAACGTAGCGTATTATAGTAGCCCCTCAAGTAGAAACTCAAATGGAAATACAAGGGGAAGGTGGGGTCCCCCTTCAATAAGTGAGTGTCAACAAGAACGAATAGTGGCTCTCCAGAACTGAGTGACTAATCTGAGATTTTAGCAGAGCCATGGCGACTGCCATTGCCACTCCTTCAGCATTATCTCCTCTTCCTTCCTCAATCTCCAGCGCTCCTCAATACTCTTTCTCTGTTCGCAGCTCAATCTGGCCTAAAAACATTTTATATTCTCCACTCCGCTGTAGCAGCCATGCCTCATTCTCACCAAAAAGCCATGACGGTCCATTTGACCGTGATCTCCGGTTCGTACTCGAACTCGCTACTGACTCAGAGTTGTATGAACTCGAAAATATCCTCTTCGGTCCTAGGTAATTTCAATTTCTCATTATTTTTCTGCAAGTTAATAAATTGAAAATATTCCTTAATTATTTTTTAATTATCCCTTATTCCAGTCACTTTAGCCCGTTACTAAAATCAATAGCGAGTAAAAGAGCGGAAATTGATTATGCAATGATGGACCAAGACATGGAAGAACGAGAAGATATGATATCATGTCTTGAGTCAAGGTTTTTATTCCTTGCTGCCGATGCCAGGTCCACTTTGAGGTCGGTTTCCTATTCATATTGCTATTCCATTGTTATGTATTCATAATTTTTATTTTATTTTTGGATATGGTGTGGTGTTATTGTGGGAGCAGGGGTTGGAGGCCTACGTATAGAAACGTGTTGCTTACAGTTAGGAAGAAGTTGAGCATTGGTTGCTCCAGTAAATTGTCGACGGAAGACCTAGAAGCCGAGATTTTCCTTCATCTGCTTGAGGAATACGCGAGGTAAATTTTGTTTATTGGATGCAGCTCTTGATTGTTTCCTTAACTTTGTAAGAAAGTGAAGATGAGGTGGGCTCGAGAAATGTTAGTGAGAGAACGGATTGATTGTTGAAATTTTAAGCAAATTTTGTTGCAGTATAAAATGATTCATGTGGTTGTAAAAATGTTTGAATAATATATTTCAGTGTTAAATTGGAATTGTTTAATGGTAAACAAAAAGCTTTATCTTAACGTGGGACATCTTGTTCTACACGTGATCTATTCCTTTCGATTGTGCTCTGTATGTGCTTGAATTGAGGAGAATTTATAATATATGGATTTCTTTTACCTTGATTTTTGGCAAATGAATTTTCTGCTAACTATTTTAAAGTTGGTGCTTTTTTTTTTCATTTTTTTTAGTTCTTTTAAAGCAAGATGGAATGAGGATTTTCATTAAAGAGAAGAGTAGGATAAAGAATGCTGGAGTTAAGACTGATTTTGTATGTTTTTAAAACGTATTGAATCTAATGGGAGAGTTCTTTGTGTAGCTTGATATCATGTTGTTAGCTGTCTCTAGTGTCTGTTGGATGATGTTCCAACGTAAATATTCAGAAGAATCTTGATATCTGATTGGTAGCTACCTTTACCTACTTCTATTTTATTTCTAATTCTTCAATGCCAGAATGCTATAGTGATTGCTCAGTTCCAAAGTTTTAAACAATCGTATTGGTGCTACCTCTGCTAGAAAAATTCTGTATTATAATTGTAAAGGTGAAAGTTATTTAGTTTGCCTCTTCTATCATTACTTCACTCATGGATGCATGTATATGAGCTGGTTATAGTTGATGGCCATTTGGTTTGATCTCTTAATATTGAGCATTATATTTATTTGGCAAAAAATTATGCTTCTTTCTTTCTGAGTAAGCTGTAAAATGACTTAAAACTTGCTTCCACCATCGTATAGTGTACAATCAGGAACTTTTCCAGGCTTATGGGAATTATCTAAGACCTCAGATGATCAAGGTAGTCTTGGAATCGGACTTAGTCAAGAGAAGGTACAAGCCCTCGCTGCACAGAAACTTGGTGCTGCAGATCTCCAGTCTATCATTCTGAAGGTGGTTACCCACATTCTAACACTAGCATAACTTGAATGTTTTTTTTTTTTTAATTAAAAAACTGACCTTATTTTCCTTTTCTTTGCTTCATTTATTTTAACTTTTCTTTTTTAAGGGTGGCGGTGTGTTTACATTGACAAGAATTTATCAATGGGTAAGATCATAAGAATTTTTTGTTTTTTCAGTTAGTGTGTTTCATCTTTGATCATTTCACTGTGTTCCTAAGCTGGTATTCTTTTTGATGTAGTTAGCTAAAAAGTTAACAGGGAAGGTTTTTCTAGAAGCTGCAAACTATCAAATAAAAAAGGAAATCATCAAGAAGGTACGTGATTGGCAGTATTATTATGTAGTTGTCGAATAAATATGAATGCAGTAACATTTTTCTTTAATCGAATGTGGCAGTCAAACATTTACTTTGCAAAGGTCTTGTGAAACAAATTAACGTCCTGATGTCATCTAAGAATCTTTTGTTTATTTCTGCCTTGTTATTATTTATTTCTCTTTTACTAGCATTAAATGGAAATGACTTATTGTTTTTTGTGTATAGTTGGCTCAGGTATAATGCTTGTAGGATCTCTACCAAATTGATAGTATCACAGTACCTAAAAACAAATTATATATTTTATTTTCATTCTCTGTTTTTAACTCAACTTGTGCTTTATTTGAAGACATCGTATGTGAAAATTGTTATGCCAAAGTACTAGATGCATCTTCAAAGTCTTGCAAAGGATCTCAACATAAATTTAAGTCTTACAAAGGAAGCTTGCTTTTACAATAAAATGGTCAATCAAAGTAGAAAGAAAGTGCTTTAGGGCCAACTTTTGTCATAATTATTGGGTTGATAGATAAAGATTCATGTTGTTGGCTGCCTGTAGACAGGATTAAGGATTTCTGGAGCTGAATAGACTAGAGTGTTATTGTTATCTAGGCCTACTGTGCCTAAGTGTATGGCCTGTGATTAAGCAGAGCCAAGTTAAATATCCAACCTTTTAAGTATGCATTGCTAAGAAGTAAAACACCCAAGCTTGGCTTGAGCTCTGGTTGAGCCTCTAAATGGGTGCACAAACTTGGCTTCTCAAGTGCTTGGATAGTCACCAAGCTTCTAGTGAAGCCCACGTGGTTTTTAAAGAGGTGGTTGTTTCACTTTTATTCTAAGTGTGCCCTCTTTATTTTGTATAAACATGTCGGGGGTTTTCCATTTGCTATCATGAAGCTAGATGGATTCTTTTTTCTTTTTCTGATATGATTTGGTATCACCTAGTTGGCTGAATTTATGGGCCATCTTGCTACAACTTTATATATCCTCTGCTTTGAATCAGATAATCTATATATTAGATAATATGTAAAAAATAACTAATAGTACACATTTCTTTTTCTGTATAAAGGGTGGACAATTGGCTGCCATTAATTTGGAGTCCAGAGCTGCCT